CAAGAGTCTTAGTAAAGTGTGCATTTCCATTGAAGTATTTGCTCTATCCAACAGGATATATGAATACAGTAGTTATAATTTTCATAGCAACAAATTTGACTATATAAAGGCAATGTTATAATAAGTTTGTTTACTTTCCTTAACATATTCCTTTATCACAAATTCTAAATATACATCCCTTCCCCACCGTTTTAACCCACACATACATTAGTTTTAATGGTTCCAATGTATATTTTAACAGAATGGAAGGACACCAATCTCTGTTACCAAAAAAAAAATGGCTAACACAAACTCTTCCCTCTATCTATGTCCCTTGCAAAGTGAATTGACACCTTTTCCCATCTGAGGACACACTCCCTTGTTTCCCTTCCATTTGCCAATGTAGGTGAAGGGTTCTTATGCCAGTTCTGAGCCTAGTCCTCAAGAGGTCTTGCACATTTAAAATCAATACCCTAACCAGTCATCAGGTGATCAACCTTAATTCACCTAGTAGAAGGTAAAAGATCACATGAAGGGAAGGCCAGTGTCTTAGCCCATTTTCTCCCAGCTCAGCCTGCTCCAGCCAACCAGCTTCTGACTCTTGATCAAAGAGTTTAGTGATCCAGGACTAGAAAATCCATCATTAATTCTGGCCCAAATTGCCAACTCATGAAACATGAGACAATTTCTATTTTAAGCCACTAAGTTTTAGGATGGTTTGTTCCACAGCAAAAGATAGCGGATAAAGTCTCTTAAATTATCCTTTCTACCTCCACTATTCTTACAATGCAATCTACTATTCATATCACATCAAGAATGTTATTCTAAGAATATAATTTCTTACTTAAATTTCAATGTCTTCACTTGTAGATTGAACCCCAATATCTTGTCAAATGACCTACATGGCTCTCCCCATTTGACCCTTAGCTCTTATCTTAGGACTCTTGCTCACTGAGCCTCATCTGCACAAGTCTCCTTCCTCCCGGTTTCTATGATGCGCTCAATGTTTCCAACCTCAGGACATTTGCAAACATGATTTATCTTATATGTATTCTTGGATGATTTCTTCTTCATCTTCAATTTTCAACTTATATCATTGAAAAAGTCTTCTCTGTTTCCTACATCTAAATGTATATCCATATATATAATTCTTTTGATTCAAATTACTAAATTGACTTAGGAAGGATTATACCACTTGAATATCATACCACTACTGTGAGAGAGTATGTATCTTCTTCATCACATTTAAATGATCATATTTTTAAAACCAAAAACTGGCTTTTAATAAAATGCAATACTTTATTATAGATAAGTTAGACACCCTGGAAAAACACAAAGTTAAAAATAGAAACCATTTTATTTGAATACAAAGATGATCTGAGTTAAAGACCTAATTTAATTTTGTTTACAAATTGAGGGTCACAATCCATTAGTGAGTGGTTAAATAAGCTTCAAATGTTTTTAATGAACAAGATTAGGAAAAAATAGAAAGGATTTAAAGTAGCACATAAAATATGTGTAAATATTGTTTGTAAAAATATTTTTGTTATAAATAGAAATATGAATGTGCAAACCTATGTCTTCACATTCTAAGTTATGATTTTAATTTTATTCTTCATTTTGGATCTTAGCCAACAAAGTATTTTATCAATCCTGTTTGTTTTATATCATGCCAGTCCTTTGCTCTCATTTGTTATAAAATTCTATGGAATAGTTGTTTATACTTAAAATTTCCCATTTTTGTTTTTTTAGCCTTCTACTAAACTACTCCAGTGAGGATTTTGGCCTCACTACTCCACTCAGACTTCTCTTAATAAGTTTAAAATGACCACTGATGCTAAACCCAATGATCACTTTTCACTACTTATCTTACTTGATGATTAGCAGATTTTGATAAGTTGACCAGTTTCTCTTCCTTCATGTAATTTATTCACCTGGCTTTTAGGAGACTTGCTTTCCTTTATATTTTATCATTCACTCCTGTTAAAGCATAATTTCAGATTTCTTATGTTTTCCCCAAATTAATAATACTGGAGTGCCCCAGACCTTTGGTAGTCTCACCCAGTCTCATGGCTTTAATACTTAAGATGGGCTCATGTTTCACCCATCCATCTTCATACCAGCCTTCATTTCTGAGTATCAAACTCATAAAATAGGGCCATAAGATATTTTATTAGATGTCTAAGAGTCTAGCTAAACTTGAAATACACGAAACTAAACTTTTGATATCCTTCCTCCCAACAGCTGCTTCTTACAATGTTCTCTATGTTAAACGCACCTCCACCATTTTGGTTGGTCATTCTTGATTTCTCTTTTTCACTCTTTCTTTGCAATCTCTCAAGAAATTCTGCTTGCTCTGTTAAACTATATCTAAAAGCGGACCACATTTCTCCATCTCCATGGCTGCCCTCCTGATCAGAATCACCATCATCTCTCACCAGGATTATTGCCATAGCTCCCTAAGGACTCCATTTTACAACTTTGCCTTCCTTTATTCTCTTCCCGACACAGAATCAAGTATGATTCTGTTAAACATATACCAGATAATGTCTCTTCTCCTCCTCAAGCTCTCCAAAGGCACCTAAATTCTCAGATTAAGAGAATCTAACCCTTATCCCTTTCCCTTTTATTCCCTTAAACTCATCTTCTAGTTTTTCATACCCATTTACAGGCCATGTCATCCACAGTGGACACCTTGATGTCATAAACAATCCAAGTGCTGTTCACCATAGGGAAATTTTCCCCAATTTTTTATTGTTTCCTGGATTTTTTTCCCTCCATGTATCCTTATGGCTAGCTTTTCTCTTCAAATCTTTGTTCAAATGTGGCCTTCTCAATGAGGTCCAAATGAATTAATCTATTTAAAATTATGATTCTCTACCTACTCTAGTTCCTCACTTTGCTATATTTTCTTTGCTATTTCCTAATTTCCTACATCTACTCATTTTCTGTTTCCTACTTCTCATTTTCTGTTTCCTACAGAACATAAGTTTGTGCAATTGGTAATCTTATAATATATTAGCTTATTCCAAATACCCCCCTAAGTATCAGGTAAATAAAGGCAAGTAGTATTTTTAAGCACCTAAAATAATACCTGGCATATTAGCCTTAGTAAATACTCGCTGCATGAATTTTAAAAATGAGTCATGGGATTATTTTCTCAGTGGGTTAGCATTTTTTAAACTCAACATGATTTTAGAGCTAACTTTAGAAATAGTTAGTGCTAACATTTAATATTTGTGTTTAAATACTTAAATTTAATATTTGTATATTGTAATTAAAATAATTTGTCCAGCTCTTCTTTGTAATTTTTTTTTCCAGTACTAAGGATTGAACCCAGGTGTGCTTCATCACTGAGCTACATCCATTCTATTTTTCATTTTGAGACAGGGTCTAATTTGCCTGTCACCTTCCTGCATCAGCCTCCTAAGTCCCTGGGCTTATACGCATGGACCACCATACTAACTCTCTACTTTGTAATTCTAGTCATATTTGTAATTAGTTTTGAATTTTTAAAATCAATTTCATGGAGATCAAATTTATAGTAAAAAATGTACACATTTAAGGCTACTTTAAGTAAAAATCTTACTATTTAATCACAGTATTGAAACGTGGAAATGGTTTGGGGTCTGCCATCTTTTATAATTTTCACACTATAAGGGTTAAAAGTGTTATAAAATTTAAATTATGAGAAAAAGAAATTTATATGATTTTCTTCATCACAGTGTTTACTTATGTGTATCAAAATGTCCATAATGATGGAGGAAAAAAATTTATTTTATAAGAGTGAAACAGAGTCATGAAACAGAGTCAAAAGCTAAATGAAATTGGGAGTCAGGAATTTCTTCCACATAAATACTCCTAAGTGAGTCCAAAGATTTACCTACATGACTGACTGCAGCAGACTGAGGTATTCTTGGGTCAAATACTACTGATATCCATTCTTGAAACCTCTTTCTTCTCCCCACACCTCTAGCTGAATCCTATGATACCTCTGGAAATTGCCCTGAGTCTTTGTTCTTCTATCCTCAGGAGCTAGGCAGTTTACTCAGGCCCCAAAACTACTAGTGGTGTTTCAGGAGAGGAAGGCAAACACATGTATCACCAAAAATTAAATGTGTGTGAACTTTTTAATAGATCAGTACAGGTCACAAAGCAGAAAAGAAAGAAACAAACATTCCAAAGCTGAAATATAATGAGAACAAAGACATTGAGGTATGAACCTGGCATGACATTTTAACATAAAACATAGCAGAGGACATTGGTAAGTGTACTGATAAGAGTATTTTAAAATACCAAATTATAACTGTATATCTTTGTGTAATTGTATATTTATTTTTTCGGTCTCAAGTGTGTGGTGTGTGTGTGTGTGTGTGTGTGTGTGTGTGTTTGATCGTAAAATGTCCAAGAATGTTTGTTTTGGACCTTTAAAACAATGTGAAAGTTAACCCACAAGGCCTTAATAAAAGCAACATGATGCAAATGTCACAAAGTCAATGACACCATGCACTGAATAATCATTGGTGTTATCTCAGAATTCAGAGGAATAAAGATCTCTGGGCTGAATGTTAGGAAGGCAGACTTCTTTCCCAAGCAAAAAATTGATGTACATCTCATTAACATTTTTCAAGTGAAACAAAAAGAACCTATATTCACAATAATAAACAGGATGAAAGAGTGCAAAAGAGAAACATTCAGGAAGGCAAATCATTCATATGATTATTGCTTAGGCCAGGAATCTTCATTGACTCCTAAAAGATGACACTACACTATTTGTGGTTGCAAAGCAGAGCAAATATCCATTATAATCTGTGAATGATAAAAGGAGAGGTACATCTGCAGGAGACTTCCTCTATTAGATCCAACAATAGTTCTTAAGTTGGAAAATTGGAAAGAACACCCAGTCAGCAACATAAAAACCAAAACATGCACTAAAAATCTACAGTAATTTTAGAAACCAACTTGCTAGCATTTTGAACTTATGTAGATGATTTCTCTGAACAGATCTGGGTGAATTCCCACTAGTTCCCAGAGACACTGAACATCTTTTGAGAACAGAACATTTTTTCAATAGCTTCTTTCATGTCTTTGTTCCTCAAACTATAGATTATTGGGTTGAAAAATGGGGCAAGGACAGCAAACATCAGTGCAATGGCTTTGTCCATTAGTGGTGGGAATGTGACAGAGAAGCGCAGGTACATGAGTGTCACACTGCCAAAAAACAGCAAGAAAATGGTAACGTGGGCTGCACAAGTGGAGAAAGCCTTGCGACGGCTCTCTCCCGAGGGAATCCTCAGAATCACAGTGATGATTCTTAAATAGGAAAGGGTGATCACAGAAATGGAGGTGAGGATGGAGATAGCATGGATCACATCTTCAACCAGAATCATGGAAGTGTCTGTACAAGCCAAGCTCAGCACAGGCTCAAAGTCACAGAAGAGTTGATGGATTTGGTTGGGACCACAGAAGGGAAGAGTAGAAATCCACACAATCTCCGGCAGCAACATAAGGAAGCCAAAGATGCAGGAGCCAGAAGACAGCTGGATGCAGAGCCTAGGGGTCATAATGACTGCATAGCGGAGGGGGTTACAGATGGCCACGTACCTGTCGATGGCCATCACTGTGAGGATGAGACCTTCTGTGACCCCGAGTGAATGGAAAAAATACATCTGCAAGAGGCAGCCAATCAACGTGATGGTCTTCTGTTCACTGACCAGGTTGGAGAGCATTTTGGGAATGGTCACCGTGGTGTACCAAATCTCCAGGAAGGAGAAGATGCTGATGAAATTGTACATGGGATTGTGCAGGTGGACATCTAGCCTGACAGCCAAGAAGATTATGAAATTTCCCACGATGATGAACATGTAAATAAGGAGCAAAGGGATGAAGAATAAGAGGCTGCCTTTCTCAAACGGAGGGAAATCAGAGAAGTAAAATTCAGTCACCATTGTCTGATTCTCCTGGTCCATATTTTCAGTGGTTTCCCTTGTGGGCTGATGGAATAAAACACAGTCAGAATTCTAAGTATATTCAAAGAACAAATAGAAACTCCTTTTAAGCCAGTTGAATAGCTTTGAAATTAGCTAAAAAATATTTTGTAATCAGTTGTTTTGCAAATTATAATGGAATTCCGTCAAATTTGTCAATTTTTTTTTAGTAATAACATATTATATTATCAACTACTCTGTTAGGCAACCGTTGGCCATTTAGACATGTAAATTGGTATAAATGCTTCTGAGTGGCCAACTGGCAGTTTTAATTGAGAGCCTTAAAACTGTTGAGAGCCTGCCTTTCACTGTGTGGTCTAAACAAAAATTACATATAATAATGATGTACAACTGTGTCTCTAAATATAAAATTAAAAGGGCTGAAGACGTGCCTCGGTGCTTGTGCACACCTGGGTTCAATACACTGTACTAAAAAAAAGTGATGTATAAAGATATTCAATGGAATATTAGTTAGAATATAACTTACCTTAAAAAGTGAGAGCCTAGACCCATGGGATATGTATGCAACTTAATCTAATCTACAATGTAAGTGGGGTTAGTTAATGCTTGAAATAAACTAATCTAGAAATCACATTCTAAGAGTAGTTTGTGGACCTTTGCAAGATTTTAATAAGCAATTCATATCCAGAGGCAGGTTTGGCAGGAGCTTCAAATATCCTCATCTGCACGCACACTACAGAGTTCATTAACTAACATACATCACCTTTTTTCAGGTTTGGCACTGTTAATATTTTAAACCAGATGACTCTTTACCGGGAGAAGAGAAGAAGTAGTCCTTTGTATTACAGGACATTGAGCAGCACCTCTCTCAACCCCATAAATGTCAGTAGATCAGGTCCCCATCCTAGTGAAGACAACTAATATAGCTCTACAAGTTGTTAAATATCCCCGCAGGAGAGATGTGTGCGGTGCAGAATCACTAGAATACAAATATATATATATATATATATATATATATATATATATATATATATATATGAAAAACCTGCTTCTTCAAACTCACCACAACTGTATTTCTTTAATAAAATTTGTATTTATTTAATATTTGCATTTCTTTTACTTTAAAAATAGATGTTCATAAGAAAAAATAAGTTTTGGTATGATTGTTTCTTGTGTTAATTACTCTTACCTGGACTCATTGTTTTCAAACTTGCCTCACTCCAGTTTATTATCACTCAGGTACTGAACTAATATTTCTAAAATGAGAGGTTGTTGATTCAATGTCTGAAAACCTTATTCACGTATTGGCTCTCTGAAGGTTTCTAAATCAAATCTGAACTACTAAGCATGATTAATAATATGACCTTATATTGTATTTTAGGGTAAGTTTAACCTCAGTACATCTTCCTATTATGACAGACAATAATACACCTATAGTCATTCTTTTCTCCTTTTTCTGAGGCAGTTGGGAAATAAACAGGAAACTAGCCTCATGCCCTATACCAAGTACACTTTGATATTAGAAAATTGAAATCTGGAAAAAGGAAAACTTGACAGATTTTTAGGGACTAAGTCAGGATAGAAATCAGATGCAAAGAGATACGTGGTTTTCCTTTCCACCAAAGGGATGAAAAAATTGTTTTTATTACAGAGTGCCATATAAACAGAGATGGGGGAAAAAAGATGCATAGAGGAAGACAATTTGATATAGATGCTTGCAAACTAAAATACACCTAATAGGACTCATATTTCATGGGAAATAGATAGCCCAGAATCTCAGCTAGTAAGCTCCATTGGTTATTTGGCATTCCTTTATTCTTAAGGAAATTTCCTGACTCCTCTATACAAAATGGAAGCATCATGCATTAGAATTTAACCTAGAAATTATTAAAGGAAAGAAGAATCATAGAGTTAATAACCCAGATAAAAATTTAAAAGATAATTTCTCCAGGAATTAATTTTATGATTCTCTCTACTTCTGTCTTACAAACGTACCACCCCAATCCCTGAGCTATGGCACTTTCTCCTGCCTAATGTGTTTTGAAAATTTAACATAGTTTCTACAAAGTATTTTTTTAAGTTCAAAAGTAAATCTCTCTCTCTCTCTCTC